CAGCAGGGCTCTTTGGCTAAAACCCTAGAATCTCATACAATCGATGTATGCTGTGTCTCCGAAACACATATATAGGACCCTAGTGTGGTCATTCACTTGACCTCACCTCACCAAAATGGACAGCCAATGAGGTACACACTCTGTGTATCTGGCGACCCGATGGCTAGTTCTCGTGGACTTGCAGGTGTAGGCATAGCACTTAGTACGAGAGCAGAACAAGGACTACTAGAATGGATCCCCGTTAACAGTCGCCTATGTGCTGATCGGTTAAACGGATCCGTAAGAACTCGGAAGGATAGGGACACATGTCGCTGCCTTTTCGCCATTTATGCCTACGCTCCCAATGAATGCAGCCCGGAGGAAGTGAAAGATGACTTTCACAGAAAGCTCTCTGAACTTCTTCAAAAAGCTAAACACTCAGACATGGTAATCGGAGCACGTGACTTTAATGCCGCAGTAGATAGCTTAAACCAAACAGAAAAACATTTAGGTGGGTGTTTTCGTATTCCGGCTCAACGAACCGATAATGGTGATCGTCTGTTGCAACTATACTCAGACAATCGTTTATTTTTAGCAAACACTAACCTTAAACATAAGGAGAGACATCGCCTAACGTGGCGACCACCTGCACTAAACCAACGATGGATTCAAATAGACCATATTGCCATCAGTAATCGCTGGAGAGGCTCGATAGATGATTGTCGCTCGTATTGGAATACTTGTTTAGACTCTGATCACGCTTTAATACGAGCGCGCATTTGTCTGCGCTTCAATGGACGCACGAAAAGTACACTAAGAAGACCCATTAGGATTGAACTGGAGGACGAGAAAGAGAAATGCGAATTCCAGAAACAACTGAGTTCACATATAGGCAGTTCTGTAAACAAGACTGACCCAGATGCTGCTTGGAAAGATATACGAATAGCTGTAGAAACAGTAGCAACATCTCTTAGTAATTTAAACCAAAAGGTTACAAAAAACCAATGGATTCCTTTCAAGTCTATTGTACTGATTGATCCTCGTAAACTCATCCCATCAGGCTCTGAACACGACGAAGAGCGAAAGCAAATCAGATCAAGGTTAATTAATAGTCTGCGAATGATCATGAGCAGTGGTGGGCAACAAAAGCAAAAGAGATGAAAAAGGCAGCGGCTGTAGGTAACACCAGACAACTTTACAGACTAACAAAAGAAACCGGAATTAAGAAGTCTATTGTAAGCGAGACAATCTCGGGAAAAGACGAAACCTTTATCTAATCTCAGCCCAGACGTTTAGAATGATGGGCAGAACACTTTAGAGAACAGTTTAGTTGGCCTTTAGCTGCTCTACAGTTACCCATCATTCCCAAAAAGTCTAAATCGAACATTAATGTAGGTCCCCCAACTCTAGCTCAAGTTCAGAAGGTTATAGCTAATCTGGAACGAAGAAGAGCAGATGGATTGGTTCCAGAGGTCTTTAAATATGGCGGTTCGATTTTAGCGATTAGGTTGACTAATATTCTGGCTAAAATCTCGGAGTTGGACGTAATCCCACATACTTACTATTCGTCAGGTTTTAGAACACAGGCATGCTTATCGTGACGCTGATAAAATGCAGAGTGTTTTCGTAGCACTGAGCAACAATACAAGGTTGTTTGGGATGTGTTTCTCCCCATCTAAATGTAAATTGTGGCTTCAGGACTTGCCTGCATCAAAACCTGAACTAAGGATAGGTAGTGAAGTAGTCGAACGCGTCGACAACTTCACTTATCTTGGAAGTCTGATCAGCCCTAGTGAGTTGGTGTCTGACGAAATCTCAGCACGGATTCATAAAGCTCGTTTGTCTTTCGCCAACTCACATGACCTATGTTGAGGGCGAGATATCCGTCTATCAAATAAGAGACGAGTATACTGCGCAGCAGTTTGTTCCGTTCTACTTTACGGCTGCGAAACGTGGCCATTAAGAGTAGAAGATACTCGTAAATTACTAGTATTTGATCACAGATGTCTTAGAAATATTGCTCGCACATGCTGGGATAACTGGGTAAGTGATAGTGAGGTTAGACATAGGGTATTAGGGAATAATGGTAAATCAGTTGATGAGGTCATGAATCTTCATCGACTGGGATGGTTGGGCCACATGTTACGTATGCCTAAACACCGAATACCAGGACATGCAATGCTGACTAATGTTGGGGATGGTTGGGAGAGAGTTAAGGTCGGCCAAATAAAAATGTGACATCAGTACTTGAAGTCACTAACTTCTAATCTGAACCATGTTGGTAGATGTAGAATACTTGGTTGGGATCCGCGTGACTATCGTAACTAATGGTCGGAGACTGTGTATGACATGGCTCAGAATCGATCACAATGGCGTAGGTGTATACACTCTTTATCTTCCCTTAAATCTTGAGATTAAAATTGCTTCATATCTGTCTTTCTTCCTGCACTATATCGTTATATGCAATATTTCTTTCATATATTACCACCATTAAATCAACTACTTCTATGAATTCGGTGTTCATCTTGTTGTGCTAACGAGGTACGGCAGTTGTGCCTGGTCCTACGTTGTTGCTGAATGACTGACTGAAAACATCCGCCTGAGCTACAAATCTTCACCACCATCCCAGAAGCAAATTCAAACTAATCACTTTACAATTTATCAATAAATTACAATAACTGTATTCAAACGTAGAAATAAATTGAAGTGAAGCAAAGAAAAGAAAAAACTAGAGAGAAATCTAGAGATTACAAAAAGTAGGTGGGAACAAATGCATTAGTGTTAAAGTAAGAACGATTTTACTTCTAGGTTACATAGTTGTAAAAAGATTTTCGACTGGACTATGATAATAACTATTACTGTAGAATTTTGTGACACCAGAAAGAAGGGTAATAAAATATTTCAAATAAGTGTTGTTCAAATTGGAACATAAAAGAAACATGAATGACAAGAATAAAAAAAAAATAATAGTAGTGGTAGTAGCAAACAATGTTTTTACATGTCCCGTAATTCTGTACGTAAATAATAAATAAATACTATTCATAATATATTTCCACGTTTCAATATACGTCCTGAGAGTACGGAGTATCATAGCTACCATTTCGCTGAAAACGTTCTCTCGTAACAATACAGACATACTGACTAGATATTGGAGGTTTGTACTATATTTAACGAAACAAGTGACGGGTTCAGTTCAAAAGAAATGAAGTAGATAAAGAATTTTTCGACGGATTTATTTTCAGACTATAGATAAATTAATACGTTAGTCCTTAACTCCTGTACGCTCACAAGTATCTTGAAGATACTATGCAATCTTGTATTGTTATCAAATATATATAGTATTATTTTTTGGGTGTCATTTTATCGGAGTACATCAGGGTTGAAACGTCTAATACAAGGTTTACAGACATATTCATTTTTCAACAGAGAGAGAGTACTCAATTCGGAAACAATAAAAAGTCTTATAACTCCAAACGATTAGTAGGTTTAAACAAATGTTTCAGCTTAATTCAAAAGAAATGATCAAGCTAAGAACAAAATTATTAATTTAATTAGAAATGAACTGTTCACTGACTGGTGCGAATTTTAAAAAATGCAAATAGATTCGATAAATGAATTTAAAAAATTAAAAATATGGGGTGTTTGTGGTGAAATAATAGATTACATTACGTAAAAACTTTGGGGAAAAACTAAAGTATGCACCTAAACACACAGTGAATGTTCATGATTCATTAAAAGACTGAATCAAAGATTTTCAGACCTCACGACTGAGCATGTTACTTTTAAACCATTGATGTCAGCGTTCGGCAGTTAAAGTTTTAAACTTAAAGTGACCTCCAGAATTTTAATGACTGTCTAACAACTAAAGTCAGTATACGATCCGAAGTAACTCCGTATTCAAAAACCTCCACAAAGTTTCTATCCTACCAGTATATGTTTAAAATATCCAAGTTGAAAAAACAGAAAAGTAGAAATACTTATTTAATTACAAACAATTAAACATATATACTTGTGAATTGCAAATGAGTAGCTATGATACAATTAAACCACTTATTTTAACCCATATAAAATCTAGAAGTGAGTGAAGTAGTTGAACTACAAATAAAAGTAATAACCTAAAAAATTATAAGAACAATTCGTTTTTTTAAAGTTGGAATATATTAACTTTCCGAAGATTATTGGTGGTAAGGGATTCGAAAAGCCGTGTAAAATCTAATCATTAATAAGGTGTTGAAACAGACAACTTGAACTAGGAATAGTAAAGTGAGATGCATTCTATTGAAATTTAATTGGAATTCTGATTACATTTTATCGAAACACAACATTTTCATGTTATTTCGATTTTCATAGTTGAAATCATTAATCAATTGAAGCTAGACCACTATGGAAAGCCTGGAAGCACTGGACGGCCGTTTCGTTCTATTATGGGACTCCTCAGCAGTGCGCATCCACGATCCCGCACTCGCGAGATTTGAACCCACGACCTACCAGTCTCGAACCAGAGCCTTTAACCGATAGACCACTGAGCTGGCATCCAACGGTGTTAATGTCTAACTTCAACTGATCCACGAAGTTGAGCAACCGTTCACTAATTGTCTTCAGTGAGTTGATATCTCACAACAGAAGTGGTTTTGAACTCCACTGGTTACTGCTTCTCACTAGAACTCCAGGACATGTATCTTGAAGTCAGTCACTAGTGAGCCGTCTAGTGCTTCCAGGTTTTCCATGGTGGTCTAGCTTCAATTGACTCATAATTTTAACTATGAAAAATACTGAAATCTCCACACAAACCCCTTCTAATTTCATATTCATATATCAATAAACAACAACCAAGACAACATTAATTGTGAAAAGAAGATATTATAAAGGCAATCTGTAAAAAGGTTAGACAAATAACACAATTAGTAGACAAATAAATTCGTACACATATAGGCTTATATAAATACACATTTTTTTGCAACCAAGCATAAAAAGAAAAAAAAACGTAAAATGTATTTTGATAAATTAAAAATCGAACTCACCTAACTGAGTCATTCCTATGTAAATTGTAGATTTCCAATATTCACCATGGTGATATAAAAATAAAAGAAAAATTATAAGATAAAAAACTAAACCAAACAACAACAAAAAACAGTGAATAATCAAGTTCCAAAGAAAAAACAAAACAATACACATTAAACTGTTTACGAGTAATACTATTCATGTCAATTTGTAGACAAAACTATTATTATTCATGTAATTTGTAAATAGATAAAATGTAGATGCGTAGATGGATACCTACTACAAAAGTTCACTTGTTATTAAGAAAAAAATCAAACAAACAAATAAATTCTAAGCACAATCATTAATTATCAAAAGGGGTTTTGTGGAGACTTAGTATGTTTCATAGTTGAAAGAATGAGTCAATTGAAGCTAGACCACCATGGAAAACCTGGAAGCACTGGACGGTCGTTTCGTCTTATTATGGGACTCCTCAGAGGGTGCGCACTGCTGAGGAGTCCCATAATAGGACGAAACGGCCGTCCAGTGTTTCCAGGTTTTCCATGGTTTTCCATTCTTTCAACTATGAAACAATCATTAATATTGCTCGATTTGTTAACAGACGAGAGAATTTCAGTCGACAAATGAAATGTTAGGTTGACTGGATTTTCTTCGGAACAACATATTGGCTGGTATAACTGTATTCCTAAATGTATTTGAGAGCGTTTTATAGAAAAGGCTGTTGATATAGGAATAAAATACAACGAAATCTCGAATATACTAATGCTATCATTGTGTTGAAATTCTAGTATATGAGAAGAATTGAAAGGAAATCTTGTTTATCCAGCTTCCTTTTGTTGGATTTTAAAGAAAATTTAACATAAGAATAGTTGCAACGAATCAAATTATTAACGTCGACTTGTGAAGGCTATGTAGTTTATAGTTTTAAATCGCGTCGTTACTTTATCTGAACAACCACTGAAGATCAGTAAACACTAAATTGTGAAAATATAAACGATTCAATGTCAAATTAGTGGTCTTAAAATGTTGTTTTGATTGTGATCTTTGAAAGTCATGGGTTTGATCTTTAACGAGGTCTTCGGAACATTTTTCTAGTCTCATACTGAAGCAAAACAGTTTTTATTTTCACTAAAATCATGGACCGATCAGCTTTAGACCACCATATAAAACATGGAAGCATTGAACGGCGGGTTTTTCTTAGTATAGGACACCTCAGAAGTGCATGTCCACAACCTGCACCTGAGAATCATGTACTCATTAGTGACTTGATTCGAAAGAGAATCATCGGGGTTCTAGTGAAAAGTGGTGACCAGTGGAGTTTAACCGTGTCGGATGTGAGGCAGTTATCCACTGAAAACAATCAAAGACGATCGCGCAATATAATGGACCGACTGAAACTAGACATTAACACAGTTGGACGGTGATTCTGATCTACAGGTTAGGCGTTCACGCTCGGGACTATAGGTACAGGGTTAGATTCTCTCATAAGGAGTCCCGAATACGAACTGCTCAGGAGCTACACAGACTAAGTCACTCCGTGATTTAACCCACTATTACTACTACTGAACAGAATCAAAGCACAAATTCCAATGAGTTAACGATTTTTTAATTAGTATAATGCGTCTATTGATCTCTCTATTTAATCTACTCCTTAAAAATAAATCACACTTAACGACTCTAAAAGAAGCAACGAGTAAACATAACCATACTAAGATAATCATATCTAAAGAAAATCAACAACTCAACAAACTTTAAAATGAGTAACCGTCAGAAACTATCAAAAGAGTAAAATAGACCAAATTCCGTAATGAGGTATTAAAAAAACCCTCTTCAGAGGTGAAAAGAACATCTGACCGATTACTTAATATGAAAACAAACTCAAATGGAAATAATACTTGTCTATTCTACATCATGTTTATGCTCTTCATTGGTTTTTTTTACTAAAGACTGATAAATTGCATTTTTAGTTTTAATAATTCTGATGACATTGAATGAACGGTCAGTGATATACAAGGTGTAATTGAAAATTGAGATTCTACACTGTACCATGTTCTCAATCCCAGAAGAACCATATACAGTGTCTGAAAATCTTCTGGTAAACACACTACAATCATTTACTGAATTATAATCGGATGAATTTCATCTATGAACATTTTTAAACTCATGATATGGTGTAAACATTATGTGATGTCACCCACTGGTTTGCAAGTATTTCATTTCGCAGTAAGTCAAGTCCAGATGTTATGAATTCGTATGAGAGTTCCAGATTTTAATCTTGAACAGAACTGTGTATTTACAAGTTGAGACACATAAAATAAAGCTGGTCAGTAGTTTCTAGAAATCAATGGTTGGCCAATTGGTTTCCAACCATTAGGCGAAAACTACAGATCATGATACTTTTCAAATTTGGATTCTCGTTACCGCTGTTAAATTCATTCATCTCGTTTAGTTTTTGCTCTTGACGTATATTTCTCTTCCAAAAAAAAGTTACATTTTTACAAGTTCTATCCACTTAAACGTTCGAGTACATTTAACATACTTAGAAACTTCTCCCGAGATTATTGTAATTTATGTTGTCCAATATCCAGTGATTATTTCACTTCATCGATGGATAATATCACAACAATCTTTCGAAAATTTATTTCATTATTGGATGCGCACTGCCGAGGAGTCCCATAATAGGACGAAACGATCGTCAAGCAGTGCTTCCAGGTTTTACATGATGGTCTAGCTTCAATTGACTCATAATTTCAACTATGAAAAATTCTCTAAATTATTTAAAATATTTACCTATAATTTTCATACAATTTCGATTTCAAACTGACCACTTAAAACCAAAACTTATTAAGTACTTCAATCAACATGATTAATGGATTAGGATACTTAAATCCCCCCCCCCAAAAAAAAAGAACACAAATGTAATTACAGTTAAATATTTAGTTTTGATAAATAAAATATACTAATCATTATTTAAATTGATTTTAGTTTATATACTTGTTACTATTAATAATAAGAATAATAGTAATATCTTAAATGGATTTATCTCTCTAATAACAACACAAAGAAACGTGAACTCTTGTTTATCCATGCGTAACAAGATGAAAGTGGAGGGTGAAAACGACAAAGAAATGCATAAAATGAAATCAAGTAAAGAGAGAAAGGAAGAGTACAGCTTGTCGGCAAGAATACAGCATACAAACATGCACACACGCACACACACAGAAACACATACGTATACATGGAATATCAAATACATAGTAAATAAATAAATAAATAAATAAATAAATCTAACCACCTTCGTTCATACACAAACTGAAATTATTAATTATGTATACACACTATTCTATAGATAATCGGATAAGAAGTTGGTGGGAAAAAGTGATGAACCATATTTTGATACATATATTGAGAAAGAAGATCGGAAAGAGTTGGTAGAGTGGGGTGAGGAGGGTAGACAGTGAGTGAGAGATGAAAGTAACGAATAAAATAGGAGATAAGATGCATTAAAAAGAAGTAATTTATGAGTTAATAATGATGATAACAGTAAATATTTCATTGCTTAGCGTAATAGTATCTGACCAAAAAACACTAATTATATATAAGATTTATATATCTGTACTATTGGAAAGTCATCGGTAAAATGAGTAAATTTGCCCAATAAACCGAGTATGTGTATCCGTGTGTATGTGTGTGTGTGTTTGTTCAAGATATATAATTCTCATCGTTTATTGGGAGTGTACAAGTTCATGACTCAGCAGTACCTAAAGAGGAATATGAATGCACACATAGTTTGTGTATAAATGTGTTTAGATGTATGTGTGCTAATGAATTCAAACTTTGATTGTTTATATAAGTGCATATCAACCTATCCTTATATTAATAAATCAAACGAACAAATATTTTTTTTTATTTTCTAACAGTGAAAAAATTTGTTGAAATAAAAATTTATTCTCATCATACAAAGGGGTGGAATTTCTTCGTGAATTCGTTAGAGATTTATTGTTTTCCCATATAAAGTAAAGAGATTAAATACATTGAAAAAAGATCAAATTTAGGATCAGTTTACATCGTTATTAGTAAAAGAGTTTGAGTTGTCCTGTGATGGATATTCAAGACTGAATTTCGACCAGTCTTTATCGTTATATATGTTCAGTGGGTTTAAGTTGTATAACGAACCAAATTGTACAAAACATGTGTCCTAAATTCCGCTGCTAGCCATAATCCATCTATTTTATATTATCTTATATTTCCTTTCTCAATACATAACAATATTTCAAAAACGAAATATGGTAGTACTGGCCAAACTTTCACGAAGAAGATAACGCTTTAAATATGTTGAAAAGATGATTTCATCATAAGAAACATGTTTCATTCAACATCAGATTCCAACACATATTTATGATACTTGATATATTGTCTACTTTTTATCCATAAAAGTGAATTGATTTGAATTATAATGATTTAATGTGTAAAACTGTGGTGAAGAGACGAATGGACGAGAATGACAAACGTTCGAAACTATTCTTTTTAGGAGATTTGTGTTTATATTTTTTATGTGTACCTCTGAATTAGTTGACCTATTAATTGTTGTTACATCTTTCCATTTTCCCAAATTATTGTAAATTAATTATAAACTTGTAACTCCAGTTGTCACTGTAAATAACATGGTTAGATATACGGTGGAATATAAATAAATATAAGGATTTAAGTCTTTGAGTCAACGTAATAAAATGTACATTGGATTTCTTTTGTCACGCTCTGATTGAAACGTAAGTCAGAGAGGGATGGTGGAGAAGATTTGTAGCTCAGGTGGATGATTTTGATAGAGTTTTGAGCTCCATCCAGCTAACAGAGAAGAGAGGGATTTTGGGTGGGCCAATAAGCATTAGCATGTCATGTCACCGAGTAAGGATATGAGTATTTTTGGTTCAAGGATAACAGAAAGGCAACGTTAAAAACACTAGGTGATGTCAGTATAAAAACTTAAGGTGCACATTTACACCAATATTTGAAAGAATGAAATAATAATGATAATGACACATACCACGTTTCCCAGTTACATTCGGAGTAGATCGACAAGAATAACGACCTAAAAGAAATAAAAATTAAATAAAAAAAATTTCTCAAAAAAAACTGAAAAATACTTCTCTATCACTGATTACATAAAGAATAGGTATTATTTAATGGGTGTCATACAATGTTTCCATTATCATATTAAAATACGAACTTGTATTACAATGTGAGAATAAAACTAAGGAAATTCCACAAATACAAAAAATTTGTAGTAAATATTTTGAAAATTAAAAGTTAAATCAAATAATTACTGAAAACTACTAATACTGAAAGGAACTCAACTCATTACCCAGATGACAACTAGGCATGTTTTGGTTAATTGAGTAATAGTGTGCTGTTTAATATATAACAAATAAATTTCTTTTTTAAATGTCGTTTGAAACAACATACTGAGGCTGGGAACTAGTTCAAAATGCAAAGTATCCCGCCAATAATCAAGTACAAAAACCTAAGAGGGAGAGAATTTATAGCTTAGATACTGTTATAGCAGTAAATAAATAAAAAAACTGGGAGTTTTTTAAACATTTTACTTATAGTGTCATTTTGAACGCATCACCCAATATGATCACAATTAATGAAACGAATTAAGTTCAATCATTTTAAGTAATTCTTCTAAAACGTGTATACATTTTTAACGAGAATAGCACTTTCAAATGATGGTTAAAATTTATATTTCAAAATGACTACTTGATTGGAATCAAATCACTGTTGAACCTTTAAACACAGGCGACATAACACCAAAAGTTACGGATAAATTCTCATCGTGGATTGGTTGAGGTTAAACATTAATACCGTTGGATGCCGGCCATCTCAGTGGTTTATCGGTTAAGTGCTCGCGCACGAGACTGGTAGGTCCTGGGCTCGAATCTCTCGAGGCGGGATCGTGGATGCGCACTGCTGAGGAGCCTCACAATAGGACCAAACGGCCGTCCAGTGCTTCCAGGTTTTGCATGGTGGTCTAGCTTCGTTTGACTCATGATCTCATCTATAAAATTCTCATCAAACCTATCAAACAAAAACGCAGTATACCACCAAAGTATGAAGTCACGATTCATACAATCATATGATCATCCAGTGTAAAAGATCAACCAATCTGTTATCATCTATAAGAATGTAGCACAACTTTCTAAACTGTATTCATCATCTTATTTGATCACACGATCGCTAATTTATGCCAAAATGATCGTTTGCAATAGTTATAGTTGAATGAAAAAAAGAAATTGTATTGATAATAAACTTATTAAGTATGGAACACGTACCGAAACACTATCATGTTATTATTATTTAAGAAATGGATGAGATTTGTCATTAAAATACTCGGAAAAAAATATTATTTTTTGGTATACGTAGCTTGAATAATTTTTTCTGGTTACCGTTTTTATAGCGAGTTGGTTTTTTACGGGATGGGGTCGCTAACCTCATGCCCAACTGTTCTCCTTTACCCGGGCTCGGGACCGGCAGTAGCCCCCGGAGGAGCTACAGGCGGAGAACTACAAAAGAAGGTCCAGGACAGAGTGGGTTGGAGAATGCTGGTCGGCGGCCTATGCTCCATTGAGAGTAACAGACTTAAGGAAGTAATACGTAGCTTAACTTTTATTGCCTTTTTTGTACACTCTTGAATTGTAATAATTTGCAAATACTCAAAACATTAATTACACTAGAATTTTTTTAGTATATGATGTACGTAAGTGTGAAATAGAAGTTACACAGGATATTAGATTATCATCCATAGGAAGATGGATCAATGCAACTTATAAAATCTAATTTTATCCATTGCTTATGATTGATTTAACATGAGCCTCCAGTTTGTGAATTTATTGTTCTACAGCTTAACATCATATTTCTTTTAAACTTATAAGTTTTATTATATATATATCAGCTCCGATGATACCCCGAAAAGACTAATGACTAACGAATAATCCACTTCAGAAAGGGTTTTAATGACCTCAGACATTTGTTCTGTATCTAACCTGCGATTACACTACCTATTTTATTGTATTCATGCATTATGCTGTAAACAAGACAATTCTGCATATAAAATTTAACTGCTCCCATTAGATTAACCCTATTTATGCAGTGAGATATCGTAATCATGTTCACCGTATAGGTATTCAGAGATTCAACAAAGAGATGTTTAAGAATTGTAAGTGGAGAGATAACAATAAAGTCATTTATGGAATACAGGTTTGTATATTCGGCTCAGAGCCACACTTAAGGAACAAAGATCAGTAATATCATCCGTCTTCGCGAACCAAATTAGACTGAATAGGTTTCAAAACTGTGAATTTTCTAACGAAAGTTGAGGGATTTAACCTTTAGGCAGTTACTCCACTAAGCTAATTCATTAAATAAATGACCAGTTATAGTTAGTTATGCGTAGCTTCATTTAACAGTTGAATAAACAAAAGACTATAAGACATTCTGATGTGCATGCTAAAAGACATATCGACGGTCATATGTAGAAATATCAATAATATATTGAGAAAGGAAATGTAATGAGGCAATGGTCCTCACCAAATGGAATTAAACACCGCTCTTACAGTGTTTGTGAACAGTGAGCAAAATCAAAAGTGTTGGCAGTTAACTAAAATATGTAAATGTTAGGACAAAACACAGAAACTTAGTTATAACCCATAAAGTGACTACGAAGAATGAGTTCGTATACTACTTTCACATAAAGTAGTTGTTAAATGAACCATTAAACAAATTCAAACGTCTTCCCAATTATTCATCACGACTATTTGAATGAAATACTGACACCTATCAAAACATTAAACCAACTAAGTTGATGATTTAGTTCTTCAAATTCCATGTATTAAAGAAGAAATACTAGGTATAATCCATATAGGTAGTTAATATTACGCAATAAAATGTGGTCCGACCTAAACATTATTGAAGGGTTGGTGAAATAAAATATTTTCGATTGTCGTTCAATAAGAAGTGGCGTCTGTCTGAAAAGTTTTTTTTATTTAGAAAAACCAAAACAAAACATAAAGCTTATCGATTAAAATCAAACTAGGATTTAGTTGATAAATAAACATTTGGAATTGATTAGCAACCTAAAGTAATCTCAAACAAATAACTAATGTAATGAAAGAATATTACACCAGGAATTTTTAAAGACAGGTAGTAGTAATAAAATACAAATCTATCACATGAATTACAATTAAATATTAAACTCTGTATCCAGGATTTAAAGTAATCATTCTAAATGTTTTATGCAATATTTTCATAGTTGAAAGCGTGAGTCAATTGAACCTAGACCACCATTGAAAACCTGGAAGTACTGGACGGCCGTTTCGTCCTATTATGGGACTCTTCAACAGTGCGCATCCACGATCCCGTACAACGGCCGTCCAGCGCTTCCAGGTTCTTCATGGTGGTCTAGCTTCAATTGATTAACGCTTTCAACTATGAAAATACTAAATCTCCACAAAACCCCTTCTAATAATTAATATTATGTAATATTTATCTATTCAACGAAAAAATAATCAAAAGGTAAAGTGCTGTCTAAATCATTTGACTTTGAATGAGTTCAGTAAGCTAGACGCTAATTTAATGGTGAGGACTTTATTGGCATTCAAAACAATTCAATTATGATTTAATTCAACAATATCTGTTATCGATTTCTCGAGAAAAATATGTTCTGAATTTGTTTCCAACTTCAAAAACTGGACAATTTACATATGCCAGTCAGTTGTGAGCAACTTAGAACCTCAAATGTTCCAAGAGAATTGTTTGCTATATGCATGCAAGTCCGTCCCGTTAGTGTTCATATTTGCCCCCAAATGCACTGGTACGGCCGAGAGTGGGGAGAGTTCGCTCTCCCTCTCCAAATCCTCTCACATGGCCACGCGAATATATAGCCTCTTCCACGAGAGTCCTACTCACTGCCTTCTCGTGGCTACAGTGTTGTTCACGAAAGTGAGATGACGAAAAGCGAATGTTCGGCGCTTTAACCGGGTTGGTGGACACGGATAGTCCACCTAGGGGAGTTGGAAAACCCTGATTCCAAACCAATGGTGCACATGGGCTCCAGTATCCTGATGGAACGAACGGTGTATGAATCAATCGTTGGTCACCGGCTACCATGGGACTGCATCTCCTCACGATGCTCCACTGCCTTGTGGATCAGACCTTTAGGTCAAAGGCTCGGGGAGTGGCCTGCTAAGAAAACCACCTGCTTCAGTCTGGGCATCTGGATAGTATCACAGCCCTCACACAAATCAAATGAGATTTGTGAGGCGCATATTTTTCTAGTGCTTCCTTGTACCAACATTTATGTGTTTAAATAAATAAATAATTAGAACCTGGAAAATATGTGCTATGTTTAGTCCCAACATTCCTCACTCAGTAGTTATGATATGCCCGAGTAATGTCTCGAAGGGATTTACAACCGAAAACCAGTAAACTACGAATGTCGTCTATGTTAAAAGGGCATGTTTCACAACCAATGTACACAAAACTCCTGTTTTTTGTCACAAATAAAAATTAGACAATTATTATTTAAGTTGGATTTGAATCAATTACATCAATGTTCACGTTTTGAACAAGTTTAAAAACGGAAGAATTCCTATTGAATAATCAAACGCATCCATTAGCAGTGCAGAATATACAGTAACAACCAAAAATGAATACATATGGAAATAAGAATACAATACAAATATGAAAACAAAACTAATGATTGATGTACGATAATCAAGAAAAAAAAAGAACTGTATATTCCTAGGGTAATTTCCACAAAAATTGATCACCATTTACAGCTTCTAATCTATACCTAAAAATAGTAAATGCCTAATTCACAAATATACTAATTCTGAAAAAATAGAAATAAGTTACACTTATTTGTTTCTTTGAAATAAAGGAAAGAAATGATATTCAGTTGATATCTAACTAACCTGTTGATTGGCGTATATTTTCTAAGCCTGGTGGTAATGTGGATGAATTCATTCGTTCTGAACGACGGAAACCCATAAGACCAGACCCAAGAGAACTGGAACCAGGTGAAAGTTGACGTTGTCGAACATACATATCACGTTTAGGTCGACCTGTTAGTGAGATCGGTGTGTTCGATACTCCAACAGATATCGATGTACCACTATAACTTGGTAATTTAGATGGGCTACATCCATTTACTTGCTTTTGTAATTCAATATCATTTAAACGTCGGAACGGCATAGAATTACTTGTCGCTGATCTAACTACATCTCTTCTTGATACATGTTGATGACTTGGTGTATGATGTGATGAACTGAAATTATTAGATCTTGCTAATGATCTAGATCGATGACCAATATTTTCATTACTCATATTTGGATTTAATTCTTCACTACTCATTATAGCTGTAAAACCTTGTTCTGCTAATTGAAGATAAGATATAGGATATTGACGACCATAATCAACACCTGGTGGACAGATACGTCGTTCACATGCTGATGGTGTAAATGAATTAGGTGATATAGTTTGTCCAGGTGTAGTAGATAGTAAAGTATCAATTGTTACTGGTCCCATACCATGTTCCTTATAAAAAGATAGAAATTATACACAGAAATATGAGTTTTATTGAAAATAGTGAGAAAAGGTAAAATACACAATAAGGAGAAATAATTGTATAAATAATGATTGGTCAAATCCCGTTTATCCCAGTACGTTAGACCATACTATCGTAATGCATACGTTAGTGAGTAATGAAAACCAATTAAAAAATATGACTAAGTTTCTTAAATCTTTCTGACAAAATCAACAGTGTTATAAAAAAGTTGGTACTACTATTAAAATGATCGTGATTTGTAAAATACTCAGAACCTTTGATGAAGAAAAGTTGATAAAATGTAAAGATTTTTAATTTGACACAATTGTTTACAGTGGAATGAAAGAAAACCAACAACTGGAGAGACTTAACAATGAGTTAAAAAATTAATCAAGAGCTGAAATTCCAAAACCAAAATGTGCATGAATTGGTATTAAACAAAAGACATAACTATCAACAGTAATTAAATATTGACTAGTTATTATAAAACTCTACCTGTAGCTCTTTTAGAGTTACAGCTGGTCCCAAGCTCGGAAAAAAGACAGAGGACTGAGCATGGAGTCGGCAACGCAATCCCGTAGAATAAAAATCTTGCTAAGGAAAACCTCAACAAAATTAAACAAATTAAACTCTGTCCTCTGAGTTGAAGGAAGAATTACGACGCCTCATGATGAAAGCCGAGATCTTTAGGAAGTCACGAAGCCGATGCACCTTCTAACAACCAGAGCAACAATTTTTATAGGTACATGGAAAGTCCGAACAATGTGGGAGACCGGGAAGAGCAGTCAAACAGCAACGGGAACGAGGTGATACAAATTGGCAGTACTAGGAATCAGTGAAACTCATTAGTCTCAAGCTGGACAGCAAAGGCTAGGTACGAGAGAGATGTTACTGTTGCTGAACCGGATGAAAGACATAGTAGACACCCAACTTCATGAATAATAAGCTGGATTTCGTAAGGACCGGTCGTGCACAGATCAAATTGCGACACTACGGATTATCGTGGAACCATCAGTTCAGTGGAACTCGTCACTATACATCAAATTCATTGACTATGAGGCGTTTGACAGTGTGGAGCGGAGAACACTAAAGAAACTCCTTCGACACTATGGAGTTCCTAGAGAAATTTGCAACATTATCCAAATCTCATGCGACGGACTACAGTGCAAAGTCATGCATGGAGGACAACGGACAGATGCATTTCAAGTAGAGACCGGAGTCAGACAAGGCTGTCTACTCTCCTCCTACCTCTTTCTACTAGTGGTTAACTGAATAATGAAAACCTTTACGTATGGGGGAAAGCACGGAATAAAATGGACATCTCAGAATCAATTAGACGATTAGAATCTGCATCAATAGACCTCAACATACACAAAGGAAAAACCAAGATTATCGAATACAACACGGAGAACACCAACCCACTCACACTTGATGGAGAAATCCTGTAATGCATGGAAACATTCACGTGCCTGGGAAGCATCATTGATGAACAAGGACGATCAGATGCAGATGGAAAGGCGATGATTAGCAAAGCGAGAACCGCATTCCTACAATTGAAGAATATTTGGAACTCAAAACAACTCTCAACAAATATCAAAGTGACAGTCTTCAATACGAACGTCAAGACAGTCCTACTGTACGGAGCTGAAACATAGAGAAGAAGTATTCATAAACAGTTGTCTACGCAAAATACTCAACATTCACTGGCCGGATACTATCAGCAACAGCGTTTTATGGGAGAGGACAAACCAGATTCCAGCTGAAGAGGAAATTGGGAATAGACGTTGGAAGTGGATAGGACATATATTGAGGAAATCACCAAACTGTATCACAAGGCAAGCCCCAACTTGGAATACGGAAGGGAAGCGGAGAAGTTGAAGGCCAAAGGACACATTATGTCGGGAAATAGGAGCAGATATGAAAATAATGAATAACAATTGGAAAGAACTGGGAAGGATTGCCTAGGACAGGGTTGGATGGAGAATGCTGGTGGGCGGGTGGAGCAGGACATATGTCTGTAGATTTGTAGCACATCTACTTCTCAGAGTTCAGTGTGTGTGCATTATCTGACGTCTTCCGTTTGCGTAGTGAGTGAATACTGCATTTGAGTTTAACTTTTACTAAGGATTTCATTTTAAGCTCTAACTTCCACTTTGTAAGCTATTTTGCATTTAGTAAGTTGAGGTGCACTACAATAGCGTACACAGATAAAACATATGTAGATGGCTTTACATGATTTAAATGAATTCCTTAGCAAATATTACACTTACATATAGCACAAATATGGTGAATAAACGAACAAACGCTCTAAAATGCTAAATATAACACTTAAAGAACATCGAAAAAAGATTCTTCTCACACAATTCAATACGCTGTAAACAAATGAATATTTCACGCATCTAACGTAGTCGATCATGTGCAATTTGACAAAAAAACACAACAGGATTCTATTGATAAACATGTGTATGTCCATGTACAAGTACAGACCTCCAAAGTAGTAGACAATAAAAATTCGTGAAGTGAAAACTGAAAGGAGTGCGTTCTTATTTTGATTAATGACTTTTCTAATTTGATGCATCAAAAAGAAACGTAATGCGAAGAAAAATATCAAACAAAATACAACATATTATCGTAAATGTTCACCTTCATAATTAAAAAAAAAAAACAATTACTTATCAATATCTCTTAGAAACAAAACATGCAAACCAGTGAGAATCATAGATTTAGAATAACAAATGAAATCATTCTGTTCAAAAACAAGGGGGGTATTTTAGCGTCAAATTATTTTCAAGAACATCGACTTTAGATTCTATTCATTAATTTTATTTATTTATTTAAATACATAAATATTGGTACAAGGGGGTAAAAGATACATGAGCGACGCACAAATCTCATTTGATTTGTGTGAGGGCTGTGATACTGTCCAGGTGCCCAAACTGAAGCAGGTGGTTTTCTTAGGGAGCCACTCCCCGAGCCTTTGACCTAAAGGTCTGATCCACAAGGCAGTGGAGCATCGTGAGGAGATGCAGTCCCATGGTAGCCGGTGACCAACGATTGATTCATACACCGTTCGTTCCATCAGGATACTGGAGCCCATGTGCACCATTGGTTTGGAATGAGGGTTTTCCAACTCCCCTAGGTGGACTATCCGTGTCCACCAACCCGGTTAAAGCGCCAAACATTCGCTTTTCGTGCCCTCAATTTCGTAAGCAACACCCCCGCCACGAGAAGGCAGTGAGTAGGACTCTCCTGGAAGAGGCTATATATTCGCGTGGCCATGTGAGAGGATTCGGAGAGGGAGAGCGGACTCTCCCCACTCTCGGCCGTACCGGGGTATTCTAAGAAGAACCGTACTACGGTAAATATATAAACGTTATGATTCATTTATAAATTGAAAACTGTGAATTGCACATCAATTATGCTTGAAATATTTACAAAACTTGTCATTGGTAAAGCTAAAACGTCATATAAAAAGGAATAAGGAAAGTTACTGCAAAGCAAGAAGTTATAATTAGTAGAGTGAAACCTTATGATTATGATATATAATAGATGCTGTTGGAATGGTAAAGAAGATTTGTAGATTAGGAGAATTATTTTGGTGCAGGAATTCTAATAGCCAACTACTAAATGAAGTTTGTGTTGATGAGTTTATCTACAGGAATAACATAAAATTTATGATTACATAACCCAGCTCAGAGAAAGTAAAGGAACTGTGAAAAATGTTGTCTGAATTACTGTGGTAATATAATGATAATATCCAGTGAATTAACTCCGCCTGTAGCTCCTCTGGGGGTTACTGCCGGTCCCAAGCCCCGGTAAAGGAGGAGGGTTGAGCATGGGGTTAGCGACCCCATCCCGTAGAAAATCAACTCGCTAAAAAAACGCTAACCAGAAAAAATAATTCAAACCATTTAAACTCTGCCCTGGGAGTAGAAGGAATAATTATGACGTCTCATGATGAAAGCCGAGTTCATTCGGAAGTCATGAGGCCGATGCACCTTCTTACAACCAGAGCGACAATTTTCATAGGTACATGGAATGTCCGGACAATGTGGGAGACCGGAAGAGTCTTCCAAATTGCTGCAGAAATCAGAAAATACAACCTGGAGGTGCTTGGAATCAGTGAAACGCATTGGACGCAGGTTGGACAACAACGACTGTCTTCAGGAGAACTTCTGTTATACTCCGGTCATGAAGAAGAAAATGCCCCACATACACAAGGAGTTGCATTGATGCTGTCTAGAAAAGCACAAAATGCACTTATAGGATGGGAATCTCATGGACCAAGGATCATCATATCCTCCTTCAAAACAAAGAGAGGGCATTACAATGAACGTCATCAAATGCTATGCGCCGACTAACGACTACGATGAAGTCGCTAAAGACCAATTCTACGATAGGCTGCAGTCAATCTTCGAGAAGTGCCCAACCAAGGACCTGACCATTCTGATGGGAGATCTCAATGCCAAGGTTGGAAAGGACAACACTAGATACGAAGACGTCATGGGACAACATGTACTGGGAGAAAGGAACGAAAATGGTGAGAGATTTGCAAAGCTATGTGCCTTCAATAAACTGGTCATAGGTGGCACCATATTCCCACACAAAAACATACACAAAGCCACTTGGATTTCACCGGATCACACTACACAGAATCAAATCGACCATATCTGCATCAACAAAAAGTTCAGGAGGACGATGGAGGAGGTGAGAACCAGAAGAGGAGCTGATATAGCATCCGATCATCATTTGCTGGTCGCCAAGATCAAACTAAAACTCAAGAAGCACTGGACAACGGCTCGCACAATATCACAAAAGTTTAATACGGCTTTTCTTCGAGATGCTGACAAACTCAACAAATTCAACATAGCCCTCAGCAACAGGTTCCAGGCCTTTCATGATCTACTCAATGGAGAGGAAACTACCATGGAGAGCAACTGGAAAGGTATCAAGGAGGCAATCGTTTCAACATGTCAAGAGGTTCTGGGCC